ATCCTATTATTACGTAAAGAGGATAACCTATCTACGATATTTAATGAGCGTTGCGTTTCCTACCGCGTTATTTCAAAATAATGAACTTAACGAAAGATAAAATTGAGTTAATAAATATTGTTAAATATTTGTTTGTAACGACGAAGAGATCAGAGATTTTACTTCGATATCGTGCTTGTTTTACGTTTATCAGAGAGAGAGAGAGAGAGAGAGAGAGAGAGAGAGAGAGAAAGAGAGAGAGAGAGAACGAATGAGCGAGCGAAGGAGCGAATGAGCGAAGGAACGAGTGAGAGGGAAAGAAAGTTGCTAAACTGTCTTTCGGTATAATAATGTCCGCAAAGTTAATCGATCATCGAACGGACTTGCGAGCTGTTCCCTCTAACCTTCGACTCTGTCATCCTCCTTTTCTTCTTCTTCTTCTTCTTCTATTTCCGTTCGGCGAACGCATCGGCAGTGGAGAGTAGCCTTGGTATCGGCTTAACCCAAACCTCCGGTAGTCTTGGTCCCGTTGGTCCGCAGGTTAGAGTTCCTCCGGTCTTCCTCTGGAACCCACCGTACGAGAAAAAGGGAAATCGACTACACGACTAGGTGCAAGTTTTACAAAAGTAATCAACTAGTAAGTTTTGAAAATGTTGTTGAGAGAGAGAATGTCAGGGTACCTGATTTGGTAGCAAACGGATCCTTGGGATGATTGGTCTTGATGGCGTTCATCCTACGATTCTGAGGCCCCTGATGAGGAGGAGGGCAACCACCGGTCGGTTGCTGTCCGTGCGTGGCGCCAGAGGACGGAGGGCCCCCTCCACCAGTCGTGGCATGTTGGCTAGTTGGTCCGTGTCCTCCGACGACACCAGGAGGTCCAGCAACGGTACTACCAACACCAGGAGCACCAATGCCAGCTGGTCCAACACCGGGAGGCGCACCCGGTGCTCTAACCCTTGGCTGTTCGACCGGTAAAACTCGACGTCTCTTCTTTGGTAGCTTGGCTCGCGCCTGCGTGTGACTGTAATACATCGCAAAGTTGCTGACGATCACGGGCACCGGCAGGGCGATCGTGAGGACACCGGCCAGGGCGCATAGCGCACCTACGAACATCCCCACGTATGTCTTCGGTACCATATCCCCGTAACCAACCGTGGTCATCGTTACCAGAGCCCACCATAAACCGAGAGGTATGCTCTTGAAGTCGTTTTGCGGATTAGATTGGGTCCTCTCGGCATAATAAACCAGACTTGCGAATATAACGATGCCGAGGACTAAAAAGAATACCAGAAGGGTAAGTTCCTTCGCCGAGGCACGGAATGTTTGGATCAGAATCTTCAGGCCGGACGAATGACGGGTAAGCTTGAACAGTCTCATTATACGTATTATGCTCAAGAATTCAAGAAAGTCTGCGTTTTCCAAATGCGATGCGAATCTTTGCAACGCCAAATCAAGGTAGAAACTCAATGTAGCTACCATGTCGATCAAATTGACCGAACTTTTAATAAATACGCAACGATTTGGGCTAGCCGTTATTCTTATAAGGAACTCCAGGGTAAACCATGCGTTGCAGACACACTCGATGTAGAAGAAGAAATCGTGGGCGTTCGTGCGTGTCTTGTCTAACACCCATGAAGTAGAGTTTCCCGTCTTCACCGAACGATTAACTATTACTGGTACGCGCATGTCGGGATGAGTCTTCAGGCAGAATGACAATATGGAGATGCAGATGAAGAAGACCGAAACTATGCTGATTACCTGTTGAAGAATCGAACACATACAAAGACTTCGGAACCTTTCCATTCCATTTTATTATCTTACTTCTTCTTTTTCTTTCACGTTCGTTGACATGTGTAAAACAATGTTACATACAAAAAAGACAACTAAATAGGGGGTGGTTGGGTAGGTATGAAACGATAAGAAAAATTAGAAAATATTTTTCTACTTGTTAGTGTTAGACCATTACACACATTAGTATAAATTGTATGTAATAATTGATGTAAGTACACGTTGGAAGGTTTCATCGATATAAATAATTTATGATCAGACAGTTGGGAACGCGAAGAAAGTAATATAAAATGATTTATGATAGAAGTAAGGTGGACGCGAAAATAGGAACGTGAACATAAATTCGTTTCGTTTATTTTCTTTTTTTTCCTTTTCCTCTGTTTTTTTCTTTCTATTTTTTTTTTTCTTAACGTCAAGATAAATATGCAAAGCCATATTTTCAAAAGGTAGACACTGATATTGCGGATTTAAAGGTACTTCGTGACAAATATCGTCGTTCGAAGAGAGAAGTGAAAAATCGTCAAGCATAGCTCCGGGCTGAATCATTTGCCGTTGAACAACAACAAGAACAAGCGAGAGAAAAGAACGGCTATAGGGGGAGACAAAAAATAGCACGAGGTATTTCCCTGCTTCGATAAGATGAATCATCGAGAGAACTTAAGGGGAAAACATGAAAATGGGCTATCATACTCTCTTCGATCTCGTGTTAAGGGCGAACACAATATAATAGTTGGGATAAATGAGAGGCTGGACTTCGAACGTGTAAGTTTGTTTGTTTTCTCTGTGTGTGTGAGTACGGTATGTTGTGTGTGCATGGAGTGTATACCTACTAACAGAACGGATAAAGAAAAAGAGAAATTACGATAATAGCTTAAGAGCGAGCGAAACGAGAGAAATGTAAACGTTAAGGGGGTGAAAAAGAAGGAGGGAGAAAGAAAAGCATATCGAAGGGGAGACTCGATAGATATAGTACCGTAATATCCGATACATTCCCTCCTATTGATTGCGATGTTGAACTGTAGACAGGACAAATGTAATAAATTTACGTATAAAGAAAGAATAATTATCTTTAACGTTATGATATTTCTTTATGTCATTTTAACCCTTTTCGGACGTATTCAATTTAGACATGGGTGTCATAGTGGTCGGAATTAATTTTTTTTATATATAAGATTAGCAAAGTTTCTTCTGTGGTAGCTGAGAGCAGACATACGACCGAAAAGGGTTAATTGTATCGTCAAATTGTCACATATACATTTGTATTTTCATGGGTTTTATTCTATTACGATTGTGTTGAAGCTTGGTACATTTGACAATACAAGAAAATACATAAAAAATATCATTAAATTGTAGACAATTACAAATTTATTTGAAGATGAAGCTTTTCTCAAGTTTACGCACTCTCGTTTCCAAAATTGGAATAGAAAAAAATAGTTTGGATCGTCACTGACCTTGGCGGTAGGAGAGGAGTAGGGTTCATCGAAGAGCGACCACATTTGAGGCTTGAGCTTTTGCCACCAGGTGAGGGTGCCCTCGTAATATGCTTCCTCGAAGCCAAACTTTCTAGCCAGTTCCTCGTCCGTAGGTTTTTCAGTGTCCAAATCCAACCTGTCCAGGACCGTCAGCGTTTCCTGTGTGTCCCGATGCTGATGATGGATGATGCAGTCGACGATAGACGATGCGTCAAGGGGAAGGGGCAACAACGATCGTTATTCGTACCTGTGAATTTTTCTCTCTCTCTCTCGTTCGCTCTCTCTCTCTCTCTTTCTCTCTCTCTCTCTTTCTTTCTTCCTTTCTTTCCTGTCAATAATTTTCTCGAGACGAGACAAAAACGCGTGCACAAGCGTGTGTACGTACACTAATACATTTTTATAATACTTTTGATTTGCGGGTGCTTTGCGGTGTCTTTTATTTTCTTTTCTTTTTTTTTTTTTTTTTTTTTACGATAAAATCGATAACGAAAGCCGTGTATTTTTTGTTAGAAACCTTGACGACACAACGACGACAACGACGACGACGACGACACGGAGACGACGATGTAAAAATAATACCGCGATCGTTGTTTCGATTTTATTTGCATAAGTATCGTTCATCGTTATACCGTAGAATATTTTCTATAAATATGTAAAATAAAATATCGAGTGAAAAAGGAATGTAGGACTACTAAACGAAAAGAAATATTGTTGCCTTGTAACAGAAAAACATAATATTTATCTTGGATTGAAGTTTCTTTTTTTTTTTTTTTTCTTTTCTTTTCTTTAGTCAGAATGGATGGTAGTTTTTATGAATTGTAGATATTCAACTGTTCGAGTGGATACATTGGAGATAAAGCATTCGATCGAAAAGAAGCACCGGGGTCCATCAAGAGGGATGAGATTATCCAACTTTAAGATTCCGAAAAGTATCTTCAATGAGATTTCCCTCGATTCACGGTACTTTATTATTATTATTATTATTATTTTTTGTGATAGAAAATTTGTCTAGCTTTTTAACTTGCTTCTCTTTCATTTTCTTTTTCTTTTTTTTTTTTTCAATCTATTCTCTTTATTACTCGTGATCAAAGTTATAATAACACACATAGATCGATTTTATTAATTAATCATGATGATAGTCTAGTGGAATAATCGTGAAATACCAATTAACTGTTATGATATCGTACTGTAGTATTACACTAAGAATAATTTTACAAAGCGTTCAACGATAACCACCGCAACTCGATAGGAATGGATCATAAACGCGTGGATTTGGTCGAATGAACGATTTTAACGAGCTTCCTGTTTAACTTCCAACATTATTTCATGGAAGGTAGAAGAATTTTTTTCCTTTTTTTTTTGTTTTTCTACCCAAAATATAATTGCACTTATTTATAACATTTAAGTTGAAATGAAATCTTTTATAATATGAATTAATATTAGCAATGTTCAATTTCATTTATGTATAATAGATATAATTCGTTAACATAACAATATATATATATATATATATATATATATATATATATATATATATATATCTATATTTTTCAATTACAATTTGTTAATTACTATTCTATCAAATTTATGTAATAGAATATGATTATTCTATCAACTTAATTGCTTATATTATTTTCGAACCCAAAATATAATTGCACTTATTTATAACATTTAAGTTGAAATGAAATCTTTTATAATATAAATTAATATTAGCAATGTTCAATTTCATTTATGTATAATAGATAATTTGTTAACATAACAACATATATATCTATATTTTTCAATTACAATTTGTTAATTACTATTCTATCAAGTTTATGTAATAGAACATGATTATTCCATCAACTACATTGCTTATATTACTTTCGACGTAATAATAATAATATTATCATTTATTCATTCAACGTATAGATTAGTTAGTATGCTAAAATAAAAAATAAAACTAATCTAAATCTTCGATATTGGTTTTGAAAGAGTAAACAAAAATGTATAATAAGACGTGGCTACGTTTTGAACAATTTTTGTGAAAATTATGTTGCATTATGCACATAACAAGTTTTTTATTTTATTTATTCTAGCATCTGAAGTCATGTCCATATATATGTGTAAAATGGTGTTTTACACATATGTTAAGAAGAGTCACTTTTCATTCAAATGATTGAAATAAATAGAATTTGAATTCGTCATTCGGTTAAAGTCTGGAAATCCGCTGAGTTTACGAGATAATAAATCATCCATTCCCCGACGTCCAAGATCAACAGAATTGGTGAAATATTGTTTGGTTAGAAATAGATCTAATACATAACATATATTGTTCATATTTCGAAGAAATTGATAGTTTCTTTTATTTGGATAATATCATCCGTCACGAACGTTTTCATTTTGTTTAATTGTCATTAAAGATTTGATGCTTCTTTTCTCTAAGTGTTATAGGATGGGGATGGTGGTGGTGGTGGTGGGAGGGGGGGGTGTTTTAAAGCCGTGTAAGGTTTTCATCCAAGCTTGGGTGAATCCTAAGATCGGTCTGACACGATGGTGGTAACTCTCGCTCGTTAAGAAACCTCGTTACGAAATCATCCCACGGAACGACCGTTTGCACCGAGTTCGCGAGATCCTCTCTCATTAAGATCTTTCCACATTTGTAGCGATGACGATATATAGTACAGTTTAGTATAGTATAGTAATACCCACAGAGCAGAGGATTAACGAGAGTTGAAGATTTCTTTCTAAAAATGTCTTGCCTACTTACGTGAGCAAGTAGGTTCTAACATTTCATACAAATTCAAACATGACAAAAAGGGATATTATCTTTATTTCTTTTTCTTTTCTTTTCTTTTTCTTTTATCTTTTATCTTTCAATCAGAAAAAAAAGGTATCAAGGAATTACAACATTATTCCTATTAATTGTCCTACGGAAAGACGAGAGAAGAATAATTTTAGAAGAAATTTTCAATCGAGGGGTTGTTGCGACGAAATAAACCAAGTGTTTTATCCGAATCCCCTCGACGAATCTCAGTGGTATAAGTAACGATTGTTTTTCACGATTATCATTTCTTTTTATCAAACTGTTTTATATTATCGATAAAAAAAATCATTATTAATAGAAAAGCAAATGATGTTAAACCCCTTTGCGGTGTGCTTGCAATTTAAACCGAAAATAACGAATAACAATATGAAACCGCAAAGGGTTGTGATATTTATTATTTTATTTTTATTTTTTTGTTTTTGTTTGTCTCTATACAGATCAGGGAGAAATGATAAACGAACATGGAACGATCAGATATTTTATTATAATGCGAAGCTTGGTGCAAAGAAGATGGATAGATACCTGAGTATAGGTCATCCAACAACAAGGTTCAACTTGATTAGAATCAAGACCCCAAAAGTCGAGTTCCTCTTCGAATAACGGTCCGCAAACGTCAGTTGGATAATGAAGTTTTCCGGTACGATAATAATTGAGAACCTGTGCGAAAACTCCTGGATGCCTGTCGAAGAAGTACTCGTTCAGGATCGGGTCATAGTTTGCAAGGGCTTCGGTCAACCTCGAGAGCCTAGTTGCTGGGATCTTTTTCAAGGTTGCTTTATATGTTTCATGCCGGATCCCACCCACGTTAAGAACCACGCGGTTCTCCGCGTCCATGTTAATCAGGTTCATTTTGATCACGGCTCTGCTACCGCCTGCCCTGGCTCGAAGAAACCCACCTTTCCTATGATCATAAAAAATCAATAATATTAATCAATAGGTTCGTTTGTTAACATATATATATATATAAAAATCGATTATTTGATGTATAGAAATTTTCCCAAAAGGGATCAATCCAATAACAAAAGCAATTAGAGTGAGATTGTCATGAAAGCTATTAGCCAACACGTTCTTAAACGCAATCAAGAAGATTCGTGTTGTCCTGTCATCATATCAACGTGAAAGAATTGAAATTGAAATTGTAGTTGATCTTTCGAGAGTAGATCAGCAAGATTATATTACCATGGTTTATCATAACATGTGATATCCACTTTGTATAGTGGATAGGAGATATATGGTAAAAACAATCAATAAAATTCGTATAATCAAGTGTCTCCTATTTAATGGTCTCATCATTGTTACGTTTATTTATAAACAATGCTTTGTATCTTCTCGATATTTCCCAATCGTCTATGATTTTCCACATTGTTCTCAATCAATCGAGTTTATTCATTTCAATATTATTTGTTAAAAATACTCGATTATTGTTTCATTTCACATTTTTTTGTCTATGTTCGATAATAACAAATTGAAATGAAAGTGCATCTGATACAATAAGAAAGAAACTTCATCAACGTTCAATCATTTTTTTTTTCTATTTAAACAAGATTTTAAAAAAACTAGTTTTCCGACAAAATGGCGAATTAGTCGATGCAATGAACTTAAAGTTGAATTAATTGGGTAACTCTTCAAACGATATTTAATATCCAGAACTAACTAAAGTTAAATGGTCTGCTTCTATCATTGCCAGGGCAAATTATTGAAACTCTAAAGTGACTAATATAATATAATAAATAGTATATAATATTAAATAATATATTGAGTTGTTGGGAAAGTAATTTCATTTTTTGCTGACACAATTTTGTCATTAGTTGATGCAAACCGGCAAATAACGACACGTAAGATTCGGTGAGAGGTTAGATTTATCAAATTTAACTTTTTAACCCTTAAAGCTTCGTAGGCTCCATGGCGGAGTCAAATGTTTTTAAGCTTTATGCTTAAGATGCTACAGTATCTTCGATTGATAATTGATAATTATTTAAGAAAGTACAGAAAAATAAAAAAAAGAACAAATAATTTAAAAAATTCGTTAAGTAAATATTTAAAAATAATACTTGTTCTAATTAATTACAAGCAATGGTACAAATATTTGCGAAGTGCTAAGGGTTATTAAAGCCAACTTGAAAGGCTTAGGTTTAATCTTGAACAAAAATTGTCTTCATTTTTGTTCATACTTTCCGAACAAATCAATAATTTATAAAATTTTTTCTTTTCCCGTTGTTTTTATATTTCCTGTCCATTTATTTAAAATGAAAATGTCCACATGTTAGATATAATATAATATATTAATATTTGATCTTATAACGTTTGAAGTTGACATAGAGAAATCCATGATAATCTGTAGTAGCAATCTGCATAACTGCTTATGGCATGCTATATATATATATATATATATATATATATATATATATATAAATCTATCTATATAATCCGTTTGCATAGATCTCACTTGGCTACAATTTCATTTCAACTTAAAATACAATCTTAATAATAATATAAGTTGAGATTGAGAATTGTGATATTCGTTTTTTTTTTTTTGTATTTTTAGTAGATAGTAGTCTTTGCCAAGTATTATTGGCAAATCGCGAATTGTTCATATACGACAGACGAATCTTTCTTTATCGATTTATCTCTACGTCATTCCATTCCCAAGGAAAAAAGTAACGTTGAAAAAAAAAAAAAAAAAAAAAAAATTGAAACGAGTTCGATAAGCCGGTTAAGGTTATTTCTTTTTTCCTTTCCCATTCTTTTCTTCTTCTTCTTCTTCTTCTTCTTCTTTTTCGTCTTCATCTTCATCTTCATCTTCATCTTCATCTCTTCTTTCTCATTTTTTATCTTTTTCAACACGTAACTTGGAAATCCTTTTCGTTATGGGTTTAAAGGGAGCAAAAAAAAGTATGGGGGTTTCTTTTTTTTTTTTTCTTCTTTTGTCATTGAACACATCGTAACAATGTCGAGCCGTTAATATAACCATAGACGACGTCTCGCGAATGTTGCACTTGCATCGTAATGGACACGTTCGTTCGAAAGGAGAGGAGGGGGGAGGTGGGAGGGGGGGGGAAGAAAAAATGGAAAATAAAAATAAAAGCAAAAAAAAGAATGGAAAAAGACAAGGAGAATAGGAAAAAAAAAAAGAAAGAAAGAAAAAAAAATGCACCGACACCATTATACAAATGGATCGAACGTATATTATCTGTCTCTACTCTTGGAAAAGCAAGTGTTGTTGCTGAATGTAGGAAACAATAGAGAAAACAAGGCCATTCAAATAAGAAGTACATATCGTTGTGCGGATTTTCTAGTTTTTCTTTCTTTCTTTTTTTTCTGTTTTTTTTTTTTTTTTTTCATTTTCATTTTCTTTTTCGTTGACCGACGAACGTACAGAGAAGAAGAGTATTATTAATATACCAATTTTTAAACTATGCGTTTCTAATTGGCCTATAACTATTCATTACTTTCTACTTGAAAAACTGAAAAGAGCATCGTTCCATTGCATTGTACGCATTGTATACGCTTCCATTTGAAATTGAGAATATACTAGAAAATTGATTTGAAATTGCAAAAAGAATTTAAATCGATCTAACGAAGTGTGATAACTCCGTACAAATCAAATTTCCAATGTTCGCGATTTTAAATTATACTACTGAGAATATGTTAACATATTCGCGGCTGGAATATTTTTTTTTTCCTTTTTTTAATACTGAGTATTGGCAAAAATAATGAATTATTTAAATGTATATTTAAATAATAAAATATAATGATATATAATAAAATAATAAATTATTTAAATGTTATATTGAAATAACGAAATATAAATTTATATAGATAGATACATTTTACAGCTTCCCCGAACGGGTTACACTCCTTTTACAATTCATATAAATTTATATATAAATATAATTTTTTAATTTATTTATAATTATAATATAAATATAAATATAATAATATAATATAAATATTA